CCACTCTGTCTCTGGTGAATCCTCTCACACCCCACACCTCTGGCCTACACCCCAGACCTTGTATACATAAGTAAATAAATCTTTTAAAAAAATAAGACTTTTATAGAGAAGGATAATTGTTTCCTTCCTATTTCCTACTAAAGATATAAATAATAAGGCACACCCTATGTCAAGAGATGAATTAGAACTTCATAATTATGTATAATTCTATAATGAAATGCCCTCTATCCCTCTAAGGTAATGTCATATGTTTAAGTAAAGGGGGATTTGCCCCACCTGCCACTGTGACCCATATCCATCATTACCATGGGTTACTCTCATTTTGCTTCCTTTCACCTAGAACGCTGAACCTACGTCTTTGATAAAATGATGTTGCTGCTACTGCCACATGGATTTCAGTGAAGGGGTGAAATGAGGAAGGCTATGCTTCCTACTACTGAACGTTAATTTTCTTCCATATCATAAACACAAAACTTGTTTACATATAATGCTTTATTGAAGGATTGGTGATGATCAAAGGAACATTATTGCTGACTCCCTATTTTACTCTCCATTTCCATTCTAAAGTATCCAGAAAACTTATCAATCAATCAAGGGTTATAGATGAGCAAAATGAGCAAACAGTGACTGTCTGGGACTACAGAAGAGACCATGTAGGTCTGTTACTCCATAATTTATTACCCATGCTGACTTTGACCAAAGCCAGGGAAGAAATAGCAGATCAGCATTACCCAGAGGCTTCCTCAAAAGTGCAGGTGATAGTTGACTGCTTTTATATATGTTTATTTTTATTCCAAACATACACATAAACAATACCAGAAGAGGGGGTAGATTGGATAGTACTTTCATAGCAAGATCCGCTTGCACTTCCCCGAATCCAAGGTTAAGAACTCCCTAATACTCTGGAGAACCTCCCCTCATTTGAGAGGGGAAAAAATTCCAGGCATCTTGGATCTTGTAGTTTGATGATTTACACATGAATGGGCACTCTCTTTCCAGCCTTCTGAACTAATTTGGGTAGGATTCTAAATATTGTTCACAACTCACACACTAAGTGCACTTAAGCAGGAGAATTCCAGAATCAGCTTCCAGATTCCAAATCTGGTAGCTTCCAAGAGTTCTGTCAGTATCTTATGCAAATGAACTTTCACATTTTTCCTCTAGTTTTTCCTGTGGGTAACTATTAGACCAAACAAACATACAAACATAACTCCCAGGGAGATTTAATTACTGTCTAAATCCATGTAAAGGAAAACATGTTTGTTTCCTCCATGCAATAATGTTTTCACAGATTCCCCTGTTCAAAATATATTATTTTCAGTTTTTTTTCCCCTAAGTCTACAACAATGCAGAGATTTATCAATGTTTAAGAAACAAGTCCCAATACAATTTCTAGCTAAACCATGGAATAACACACCTGAAGTCATACTTAGTATCACAAACCCCAGCATAATTTTCCCAATATTTTATTATAAAGATTTCAAATATATAGGAAAGCTGGATTTGTACAATGATTTTCCTCCAGTTAGCTACTAAATTCTCAATCTCTCTAAACACTGCCCTTTTTCCCTCACTTCCTCTATCTTTCCATCCATTCATCTATCCATCAAACTTTTTATTCCTTTGATGCATTTCAAGGTAAAATTAAAATACCAACTTTTCTCCTTAATACTTAATATAATTTCTTAGTGTTCAATATTTTTTCTTTCGAAAAAACTTTTATTTTTGAGGAAATATTTATGTACAATGTTATGTGTTTACATTAAATATACTTTCACTAAGTTTTAAAAAAATGCTTGCACTTGTAACCTAAACCCTTAGCAAGACATAGACAGTTACCTTATGTCTCTTTCCAATCAGTTCCTCTGCTGATTTTTCCATCATAGATTAATTTTGTTTGTTCTAAAACATTACATGACTGTAATCATACAGTATGTGCTCTTTTGTTCTGTATGATTTCTTGTAGGCATTCTAGCATGACACTCTACAAGAGTCATCCAATAGTTTATTAATAGTTTGCTCTTTTTTATTGTGAATAGATCATAGTTTATTTTTCCATTCTCCTACTGATAGACATCTGGGCTCTCTCCAGTTTTTTACTTTTATGAATAAAGTAGTCTTGAATGTTCTTGTACCAGTCTTTTTATTGACATATATTTTCATTTCTCTTGGGTAAAACCAAAAGATGGAATTGCTGGATCATAGTGTAGTTGTATGTTTAGTTTTATAAGAGCTTCTAGATCTTTCCCCAAAGTGATTGTACCATTTTTTTTTAAAGATATATTTATTTATGATAATAAGAACTGGGGTACAGGCCAGAGATGTGGGAGGTGAGAGGATCCACCAGAGACTGAGTGGGGAACAGAACAGTTAGATAGACTGATGTAGACTGCTGAGGGGAGCAGCGGGCGAGTCAGGAGAGGTCTGCGGCACCATGTGGTTTGCTCCCTGGCCAGCCAGGATGGAACTTGTGCTGCAGAGGCTGCAAAAATTTTCGGCTAGGAGCTCTAACTCATATGTGTTTATATTCCTTCATTCTATAGCACATACTTTTAATAACTTTGTGCATTTTGTTATTATACTTCATAGATGAAAAATCTAGCAAAATTCACATTTAGGGTAGCTGAGCTCTTCGATCTACTTCTCCCATGGCAGTCTTATTATTTTGTTATAAATTATATTAATTGGGCCTCCCTGGTGGCGCAGCGGTTGAGCGCTGGGTTGTGAAGCTGCCTGCAGCCTCTTCAGCACCGGTTCGATCCCTGGCTGCTCCCCGGCCACCAGAGGAGGGTCCCACATGGCGCGCAGACCTCTCCTGCCGCCCGCTGCTCCCCTCAGCAGTGTACCTCGGTCCTTCTCCCTGCTCTGCTCCCTGCTCTGGCTCTGGTGAATTCTCTCACCCTCCCGTGCTTCTTACTGTACCCAGTGCTTGTATAAATAAATAAATAAATCTTTAAAAAAAATTATATTATTTTCACTGCAACTAGATTGGTGCCAGTGAAACCCTTGAACTTGCTCAAATATCAGATATACTTTTCAAGAAGATTTTCATTGCAGCTTCATGTCTATACTTTTGAATTATTGTGGTAGGCTTTCTTTAACTGTAATTTTTTCTTCCTCTCTAAGAGTGGTCAGTCTGACCCTAAGTGTTCACCTCAACGATATGGATTGGGTTAATACCAACATTTTTAAAGGAAAGTAATCCCTTCATTTTAAATAAATGCCTTTCTTTCCCTTAAGTACTTTTATTCAAATCGAGAGACTTTGGGTTACTGAATTGACACCCTTCTCTTGTAAAGTAACTTAAACATCTTAGATGACTAGAGAAACTTCAGAAAATAAGACAGAGCAGAGTATCAAGGACATAAGGTGCTAATAGAACAAAATATGAATTTGTAAATCTGTATGTCCAGTTACATTGTCAAAAGAGCTTTGAACAGACTGAAGAAAGATGTAATGGTGGTAGACAGTTAAGTGCAACAGGAAAGTTCATTTTAGATAATATAGCATTCCTCATCAATAATTGTTATTTGCCATTTCTATTACTTTGGGTACTTAGTACAATATTATGATTAAAGAAAGGAATAAAGAGACTACAGAAAAGGGCCTCCCCGGTGGCGCAGCGATTGAGCGCTGGGCTGCGAAGCTGCCCGCAGCCTCTGCAGCGCCGGTTCGATCCCCGGCTGCTCCCTGGCCACCGGAGGAGGGTCCCGCATGGCGGGCAGACCTCTCCTGCCGCCCGCTGCTCCCCTCAGCAGTGTACTTCGGTCCTTCTGCCTGCTCTGCTCCCCGCTCTGGCTCTGCAGAGTTCTCTCACCCTCCCGCGCTTCTGACTGTACCCAGTGCTTGTATAAATAAACAAACAAACAAATAAATAAATAAATCTTTAAAAAAAAAAAAAAAAAAAAAGACTACAGAAAAGGAAATTGGTCAGCTTCAGGATTGTGAGCCGACAATAAGATTAAATCTTGGAGTTGTTAGATTTTTTAAAAAAAGAAACAGTATCATACTTAGTTTAAACATACAAACAAACAAACAAAAATACACTAAGGGTTTTGTGGGGAAGCATTGACTAGCTTTACATTCCTATAGGGTAGGGACCTACGTACTGTCTTTGTATACTTTAGAGGCAGAAATGTCTCTGGCATATAATATCTTCCCTGTAAATGTCTGCTGAATGAATCAATATGTGGCTCATCATGGTCATAATGGCAAGATTCCGTTTTAGAGACATTATTTTTTGTTCAAGTTAGAGCTATTATTTCTTAGGTATGGCTGGAAATGTTTTTGTAGGGGCAAACTGGGCCAGGATTGAGTGCAGGCCTTGCAGGAGATAAATGGATCCCGCCTTCCACCCATGCATTTGTGCCACACCTCGTTGCCAGAGAAGGCAATGGGTGATTAGGAATGTGGAATGAGTCTACAAATAAAGCTGGATAATAGTCACGAAGCAAAACTATATTAAGAATATACATGCCAATTTAGGGGCGTTATTTTCAAGTTACGTTTACTTAGGTTTTCCCCAGAGTAAGTGGTTCCCAATCCTTTTTATTGTCAGTATTCACCATTAGTTGCTATGACTGGGTCATGTTCTTTGATCCTGCGAAATCTTGCCCAATCTAGGCCGCTAGTGTTCCTTTAAATCACAGGGGGAAACGACTTCGCCCGTAGCCGGTGCCCAAAGCCACACCCACTAAGAGGCCTTAAGAAATCTGGGGCTTTCCTGGCGGTGACTGAGTTGTCAGCCTCCAAGCGGCGCGTCGGAATCCCACGGCGGGCCCTTGAGTCTTCCCCGAGGGAGACGCATCTCCCTCCTCCGCACGGCCAGTTGGCGGGTCGCGGGCCGGCCAGCTCCGCCGCCAGCCACCGGCCCAGCCCAGGACGTCCAGCCCCTTCTCGGCCCTGCCCGCCCCAGCCTATTTGCATAGAGACGCGCGCAGCGCGGGCGAGCGGGAGGGCGGGCGCGGCTGGGGGGAGGCGCGCGCGCGCTGACAGCTCGGCCCTGCTCGCTCACTCGCTCGTCCCCGGCTTCCGAGCACAGCATGGCGGTCAAGGTGACTCCAACTCTCTGCTGCTGCCTTTATTGCATAGGAGACATTCTGGGGACCCTGCCTGCAGCCCCCTCACCTCTTCCCATTTCTTTCTTTGCCTTGTACTTGGATAGAGCTTCCTAGGGCTCCAGCTCGCGGGAGGGATTGCTGTGCGGGGCTTGCACCCGAGGGAGAGGATGCCCGACTGGGGGAGGGGAAGAGGGATTGTGAGTTTGAGGGGCTGGTGAGGACTACAGGTCAGTGAAGAAAGAGTAATGTCCTGCCTTAGGGGCACGGGATTGGGAGCTTGGAGTTGGAGGGCGTCGGAAAGCGAGCGGAGGAAGTGGCATGTAAAGCCGGGGATGCCTAAGACATCTGTATGTTGCGGTGGGGGAGGGGGTGGGTAATTGGGTAATTTGGGGCCTCCGTGGGGCGGGGGCAATGGTTGGCATTTGTGCTGCAGGTGGAAGGTTGTCGAAAGTATTTGGAAACGTTATAGCAGCTTTCATATTTCAGTCTGGGTGAATAAAGAAGGGCGCGGAGATAATTATATTCAGGACTGCTATGCTTTGGGAAGAAAGGCTGCTAGGCCATGTGATTAATTTCAGTGTTGTCAACTTTCCTGTTGCTCTATTCTTGTGGGCCTCTTGATTTGAAGGTGGGTGTTGCTAGTAGATTTGGAATAAAGAGATTGATCTTCACTCCCTTCTCTTTCCAGTCCAGAGGAACTCTGTCTGGTAGATTTGCTCTATTTTGGGTTATCTCACTGGTCTTTCCATCCTGTCCTTACAGATCTTAACACCTGGACAGGTGTTATCAGTATTAGTGCTTTTGGTTTGTTTTAAGCTAAATGGCTTTATAAATGATAACAGCATCGATTGTTAGCTTCTGAATTCTAATCTATAGAGATAATGTGGGTATAGTGAAACATTATGAACTCATTAACTGGCTTTTTTTTTTTTTTTTTTTTTACAGGTACAGACAACTAGGCGAGGTGATCCTCATGAGTTAAGAAACATATTCCTACAGGTAAATTAGCTTTTGTTGTGTGCTCTTTCACTGGGGGGAAAGTATTAAGTCTTGTACTTTTCAGGCCTTAACTTTGAGGATCGTTTCATTTTTCATGTATTCTTATAAATTTGGCTAGACAAATAGATCATACTTATTTTATTTAGGTTTGACAAAATATTCTCTGCAAATTATTGTTTTTTATGTTACTTAAAACATGTGAAAGAACACCAAAAAAGAATTGCCATCTTCCCTTAAGTACAAGGGACTAAGATAAAATTTCAAATGTATTGACTGTCTTTTATAATTAATAAGTATGGTGTAATTTTTTTTTCTTGAAGTTGCATGTTTAGCTTTTGTAGGTGTCAGTAATTCTGTACATAATTTGTTACAGAGGTAAGGATATTGTGGTTATTCTTAATTTGTGTGTCTCTTCCCTACCTCTACTTATTTCTTTCATATCTGTAGGTTTTTGTTGTAAAATGTTACTGTATGTGATTCTTGCAAGGATCGACCTTTTGTTAAATTTTTGGGATCAGTGATTTGGCTGTAGACTTTTAAAAAAAGTTGACTTAGTTTTTTGTTTTGCTTTTTTCCCTTAAACTTCAAAATTTCCTCATGCAGGAAGTTGTGCTTTAAGAAGTTGTTGTAAAGGGAGACAAACTAAATGTTTCTCTAAATACTGTTTTTCTCAGAAATTGTCTTTTGTGAACTTTCTATTCTGCAGCTGGGTTTTTATATAGAAACTATGACCTTGGTCAGGTCCCTGCTGGGTATTAGTTTCCTCTGTAAAATGAGAGGTGATCTCCAAGGTTCCTTCCAACTCCAAAAGTCTGGTTCTATATTAGGAACAGATACTAACATATGCTGATGAGCCTGGAATAGATGACATTTTTATCAGAGACATGTGGATTACTTAAATTATTCTTGGGGAGGAGGCTACATAGATGACCATATACATGTGTAGTTCATGAAAAAAAAAAAACAGTGAAAATGTAAGTCCTAAATTTTATAAAATCTGCTAAGTGAAGCATCATTTCCACAATGAATGTAATTGTGAAAGAAGGGCTCTATTTCTGACTTGAAACCTTTATTCATCACAAGTTTCTTAAAAACAGCCAAAAATATGTCAGTATTAACCACACCATGTGATTAACTCAATTGTTTTATGAGAAGTTCAAGTGATACAGTTAATTTTATTTTGTTGATTAAGTCGGCATAGAAGAAATCAGTAGAGATGAAGCATGACACTGTGGAAAAGAGCACTGACCTGGGAGTCAGGAATACTGGGTTCAATTTCCAATCCTGCCTCAAACTGGTTGTTTTATCCTTAGACTTACTATCTGGCCTTTGTAGACATTATCTTCTGGTGTAGAACTCAGCAGGACATAAAGAGATGGGAATTGAATTACTTCCATCCTTAAAAATCCTATAGAAAAAAATCTGTGAATCTGTGGGAGGGAGTACAATGAGACAACTTGGAATCTGTCTAGCTTTTGACAACTTTTAAATCTTACTCTCTTCTTACATGTTATTTTGGTGCCTTTATTTTATGTTTATATTGAAAATTTGTGGAATTCATACTCTCTTTAGCACTAACTACATATAAAATATTACTGATAGATAAGAATTATTGATAGGTAAGAGAGAGATAGAGCATAAATACCTCAGGAATGCATAGAGCAGCTAGAAAGATACAAAAGAGCTAGTTGTAGGGTCTCCCTGGTGGCTCAAGGGGTTAAGTGTCAGCACAAGAAGCTATCCAGCACATGAAGCTATCCGCAGCCTCTGGCCAGCAAGTGTTCCATCTCTGGCAAAGGAGCTAACCCACATGGTGCAACAGATCTCTCCTGTCTTATCTGCTGCTACCCTCAGCAGTGTATTTCAGTCAGTCTGCCTGTTCTGTTCCCCACTCTGTCTCTGATGAGTCCTCTCACCCACCGCACTCCTGGCCTATACCCCATCTCTTGTATGCATAAATAAATCTTTAAAAAAAAACACAAAAGAGCTGGTTGAATCAGTTTGAGGACAGTTACCAAGTTATAGGTTACATTTTTTATTCCTGTCTTGAGTACTTCAAACTATAGTTACTTGAAGCTAATAAAGCATTGTTTAGAAACAATTTTGTTATAGATGTAAATGGCTTATTAGAAATAATAGGCAAAAATACATACTAACTACTTATTTCTTTAGCACTTAACATATTTATCCAACAAACATTTACTGAGGACTTTTTGCTGTGTGTCGTGTGTGTACTTCTGTTCAGTTTAATCGTAGATAACAAGTTGGATAATCTCAGGGAAGAATGAGCCAAGATTGAATGGTAGTGACTATCTGTTCTCTGATATCCATTTGATCTGTGTTTGAGAGAGTCAAGAATAGTGAAGGCAAATGTATCGCTGCTAGTAGGGAAATCATATTGACTTGCCTGGATTGAAAGGCCATGTAATAATGACAATGGCTAACATTTATTGGTCATTCTTTAGTGTGCTGGAACATCAGCCTAGTGCTTTAAGGGTATTATGTTAATTTTCATTACCTTAGGAGAATCTTTGTTTAATAGATGAATTTAAATGACTTGGTTAATGTTGCTTACTTCATAAGTAGTAGAGGCTGGATTCATCAAACTACAGAACCCATACCCTTAACTTTCACACCAAATACCGCTTATAGGATCTTGAAATGGTAAAATTTGAAAGCTAGAGGTATGTGAAAGTCTACTGGCAGCCATGTTTGTTAAGAAGTTAAAGGATAAGAATATGGTTACTTAGGTGATTAAAAACAGAAAGTACCTTTGCACTGTAACTATCTAGGACATTTGTCCAAGGAGTTTGGATTTGAAACAGTAGGGAGGCACTGTGGGATTCTGAGTGGACAAATTGAAAGTGGGGAATTCTGCCAGCTCTTTGTGTATGTTGGATAAAGTGTAGAGAGGTTGAAAGTAGGGAAGGCGATGAGCTAAGAGGCTATTGAAATAATATATGTGGGAGATAATGACCTGGAGTGGCTAATGACTGGGGAAATGGAAGGGAAGAACAGTATCAGGGATTTTGTAAGGGATGAATCTGTTAGATTTGGTATTAAATATAGAGGAAAGGAAGTAGTAAATATAGCATTTTGGATAGATGTTAGTTGATAAGCATCTATTTGGGGAGTTGGGGGGGTTATGTTAAATAAATTTGACTTTCTAAGTTAAAGTCAAGTTCAGATAGAGACAAATTTGTACAGGTGGTAGGCAAATCCTTATGATTGGGGGATTACAAACTAGACAGCACAGAGAATAGGGATTGATTTATTAATGATATCTACTATTGAAAAAGAAAGGAAGAGGAGAACTAAGGGAGTGTTTCTATAGGAGTTTAGAGTTTTACAAGGATATAGCTAAAGACAAAATATAGATTATTCTGTTATTAGTCTGATTTGGTTTTGATAGAATTTTGGGGTTCCTTGAGTTCAGGACTGTTTTAGCTATTTAAGCACCACAGAGAAGATTTAATTTTGAATTTTAGAATGCAGTTGATAACTCTTCTTATAAACTTTAGATCCATGCCATTAATTGTCTAAATTCACAAATAGTAACTTGTTTTGTAAATAGAAAGATATTCTAATTTGAAAATACTGGTATGTGCATATTTAATGACATTTATGTATGCATGTTCCTAAGAAAGACTTTGTAAGAGTCTTTTTTGTTTTGATTATAAGGAAATAGATTTATTTTTTCTGTGCTCATTGCTTCTCACATTTTAATGAGCTTTATTTTCTATTAGTTAAAAAAACACTATTCACTAGGATTCTGCCTTTTTATACCCCTTTCCCTCCAATTTATAAAATTGGCACACAACAAATGAATTCTTATGTATTAGACGGTGCTATCACTTTACAATGAGTTGTCAAACTAGGATTTTATTTTACTATCCTTCAACTGTTATTTATTTATTTATTTATTTTTACTTCTCTCAGTCCCACACTGTCATTGACCCAATTTTGCTCCATCAGGATTACACAAATACTGAAACGACTGAGTTAGACTTATTCCAGGTAATTTATAGGGGTTTCCAGTATATTATTAGGTGAGAAAAGACTTGGGTAGGGGAAAGAATTAGTGAGAAATAAAAACAAAGACTCAATGCGTATGTATTGTGCCACCCTGGTGGCGCAGAAGTTAAAGTCTCAGCTCTATGAAGCTATTGCCAGCCACTGTGTCATGAGTTCGGTCCCCGACCAGGGAGATACCCACATGGTGCCTGCTTCTACCCTCAGCAGTGTATTTCAGTAGATCCTTCTGTTCTGTTCCCCACTCTGTCTCTGGTGAATCCTCTCACAGCCCCGCTCTGCTCCCACCTGCTTGCACCTTTGGCCTAACCTTAATTCTTTTTTTTTTTTTTTTTTTAAAGAGGCATGAATTTTTATTTATTTATTTGTTTGTTTACACATGCACTGGGTATAGTCAGAAGCGCGGGAGGGTGAGAGAATTCACCAGAGCCAGAGCGGGGAGCAGAGCAGGCAGAAGGACCGAAGCACACTGCTGAGGGGAGCAGCGGGCAGCAGGAGAGGTCTGTGCGCCATGTGGGACCCTCCTGCGGTGGCCGGGGAGCAGCCGGGGATCGAACCGGCGCCGCAGAGGCCGCGGGCAGCTTCGCAACCCAGCGCTCAACCGCTGCGCCACCGGGGAGGCCCCTAACCTTAATTCTTATATGCATAAATAAATAAATCTTTTTTTAAAAAGTACATATATTAAATGTCAAACAATTTAATATTGTTCAAGTGAATAATTGAATAATAAGTTTAAAATTGCATAATTTAAATTGAATAATTTAAAAAATAATAATTTATCAATTCAGAACCTAAAATTTTAAGAGAATGTCATAGAATAAATTGGATTGCATGAGCCCAGAATGGGACACACAGAAAGTGATCTGTAGTTTCTTAGCTGCTCTGGTTAAGAATTTTCACCACATCTTTAGAATCTTCAGTTTATACAGTATTTGCCATAAACTATATAGAGTTTTCTGGAAAAAAGT